TAGCAATCTTCCAACTCCCATATTCTTATTACAATGTGGCCTTGATAGTTTTCCCATCAAATAGTGGGCTTTATGCCATCTCCTGTTGAACACAGGAAGATCTTGGTGTCTGTCTCAACGAAGAATACTACAACAGTAATATGATTTGACTTCCAATGCTGGCCCATAAATATGCCATGAACTTCCACTTCACTCCCTTGAGAAGCTTGCTCTTGAAACCCAGCCACCATGCAGTGAGGAGGCCGAGGGCAACAACAGGAAAGCCACATGCAGGTGCTCTGGCGGATAGCCCAGCTGAGGCCTCAACTCATCGTTTGTTTCCACCACCAGGCATGTGAGTGATGTGCCTTCTGACATTGTAATTCCAGTCCCTGGCCATGGGGCCACCCTGACCTTTACACTGCCCAGCTGAGGTCCTGGACATTGTAGAGCAGAATCTCTATGACGAATAACACATTTGCACCGTGCTCTTCTCAAATCCCAAGCCTACAAAATGTGTGAGTACCATAAATTGTTGTACTTTATCCCTAAAATTGTGAAGATTTGTTATGTCTCAATGGTAAAGTAACTGGAACAAACAGGATACCACATTGTACATACAGAATTACTCATATATTTCTCATATATAGTAGGGTGAAAAACACTGAAAACTAAGTGTCTATTACACTGAAGAAAAAAAAAACACTGAAAAGCTGCTGGTTTGGATGAGGGACTGACTACAGTGGACTCTGTCTTCTAAAAGGAGAAGCATAGTTTATATCGATGAGAAAATAAATCTGCCTTTATAACACAAAGACTTCTGGAGAGAGAGGGGGGTAAAGATGGAGATTTCAAAATGCCCACTTTTTCTTTTCTATTAGTAGACTGAAATCAATAATCGCTAGTAGCTTTTCAGCGTGAGAAAGGAAGCCCAGGACAGCATAGGGACTGCGGAGCTAACCTGCTTTCTATCGTTAAATGGGACAATGAAAGTTTTAAGGAATAGAGAAAGTAGACATGGTGAAAAGTTAGGAACTTCAGAGAAAAATGGTCCCTGATAAATATGTTTCCTATAGCAAAGGGGCTAAGGGACTTTTCAGCAGAGATATCTAAACTCGAATTGCACCTGTAGGTGTTATTATGATTTCTAGAAACTCCTCTAGAATCTACAACACTGGAAGGAAAGCCAGGTGAGCCCACAATGCTCTGGAAAGGGCCTGGCCCAGTGGGGTAGAGAGCTGCATACACAAGGCTCAGCACATGGCCACGGGGGACAGAGTGCAGCTCCTTCTGGTGAGAAAGTGGACCCAGAGCTGCTGGGGTGGGCATCTAGATCCAGAACAAGCCCTGAGATTGTCTTCCCCAGAGTTGGTGAAAATCTTGGGGTGGATGCTTGACTTCCCCATTAGTATAAGATAAAGAGTTTAAGTCATTTTATTTAAGCCTCAAAGTACAGGGTGTCCTCAGCTAACTGGATGACAAACAATGGAGCATTTTCTTGCATGAGTGTGAGCTTGTCAAATCAGCATTCCAGGCAAAAAAAAAAAAAAAATCAAAAGTCAAAATTCTTCAGTATGATGTCACATGGGAGGTAGTTTCCCTAATGTCCAGGGTTTCCCTATATGTTCCCTAGCTCTCTGGCTCTTAATTCAACCATCACCTTAAGTTGCTGGTTTGAATGAGGACAACACAGAATGAAAAATACATCTCTTTACGGCCAAACTACATTCTGTGTGGTGAGACAATCCCACCATGAGAAGCCCCCAGGGTGTGAAGTGTCCGGGGAAACAGCAGATTCTTTCCTGGTTCTTATTTCACACTCACACCCAGACACCCACTGAGGCAGTGGTCCCCTCTTCTCTCTCACGTTTGTACAGCTGAACATGTGCGACCTTACCGCATAGATGGTGTGACACTTAGACAATGTATAAAAAATACTTAGGTTAAGAAAAATGTTGGAAGGGAATACACCATCTTGGTAGTGCCAGTCTTTAGATATGCTATTATTTAAAGTTTCTACAATAACCATAGAGGATTTCTGTACTCCATTGGGTAGTTGTAGAGATTAATAGTGCTTACATCAGTGCCTGCACACAGTAGGCTCTCAATATATGTTATCTCATCATCATCATCATCATCATCATCATCATCATCATCATCATTATTAGCAGGAAAAATGACATTTCACTACTGTACAGGCGAAAAGGAGAGCTGGAGAGAGGGAATGGCCTACCAGCCAAGGAGTCTCCTCCCTACTCTATAAAGTCGCAGGAAGTTTCCTAGTATCCCCCTCCGCTCTTCATGACTTAGATGTTTTTCTGAGGGAAGATCTCAGCTGGTTATAGGCCAGATATCAAAGAAGAATAAATCCCGACAAGGACCTAGGAACCTGGGAGAAGAAAATGGGATGGTAGAAAGCGAAAGCTGACCAGTGCCAAGAATTCTGAGGCGCCTGGTCGATGCTGTCACCCAGGGCAGGGCTCCCTCTCCTGGCGATGAGAGGAAGGAAGGCAGGCTCTGCAACCAGGATATGAATTCCAGCTCTGCCACTTGACAAGTTACTTACTTTCCCTTTGCCTCAGTTTCCTTATCTAGAAAATGAGAACTGATTGAAAAATCTACCTTATCAGAATGCTGTGAGAATTAAGACAAGTACCACATCTGCAGAGTGCTTTAGCACAGGGCCTGGCATGCAATGAATCCCTCAGTGAATGTTAGCCATTGTTATCATCTGTACTTTGGAGTTCCTAAATAATTGCATGTTGTTGTGAGTGCTTGAATTGATTCTGGGCATCACAATTATAGACACAGAGTACTTTGCTGTTTCAAAGCTTCTTTACAATATAAATGGAAACATATAACCATCTATCATCTATCAAACTGCCAAATAGTTCTGCCCTGTATTGATGGAAATGTGAAGAAATGGATACACCTGCACTGCTAATGAGAATCCAAGTGGCACAATCTCTGGGAAGATCAAGTTGATGTTATGTTTTGAGCCCTCAAACACATTCACCCTGGGGACGAGAGGGGTGGGAAGAGAAAGTCAGATGTGGCAAGGGTTGGAGCAGACAATAGGATGAATCCATGGAACTGACAAATCTTTAAGGCGTTCCAAAACCTCCAGAGAGGAGACAGTAGAAAATATATGGCCAAGCAAATCAGGCATAGGTGATTATCACATGGATACCAGAGAGAATGCTAATCATTTAAGACTGGAGACATGAAAAAAAGTTCCCACGACCGCTGACCACATATCCCCACCAGGAAGTCTCACAGCATCTCACTTCAGCACACCCACAACGGACCTGCTAAATTCCCGTACGTCACTCCCCAAACTTTCATCCCCTAGCCTCCCACTCTCAACCAAATGCATCACAACTCACCTGGTTCCCAAGCCTTCAGCATCCCTTCACCGCCACCATCCCGGAGTCCCAGTGCAGTTCCAAAGCAGGTCCTGTGTCTTCCACTTCCAAAGCAGATCCTAGTGAGTCCAGTCACATCTGTCTGCTCTCCCCCTGTCTGAAGTAGCCCCTGATTCCCTTCTCACACAACTGAAACAACATTGCTGATTATCCCGCTTCTATTCTTAACCCTTCAAGATATTCTCTTGGGGGCCTGGGATTTAGCTCAGTGGTTCCAGCACCTGCCTTGCAAGCTCAAGGTCCCCAGTTCGATCCCCAGTACCAAAAAAAAAAAAAGAAGACATTCTCCTGGTAACAACCTGCATGCCCTTTTAAAAACAGAGACTAGATTGAGTCTCTCAATTGACTGGATCAAATTCATTGATTTCTTTGTACTGTCTTTGCCTGCCATCCATCTTCCCCTTTCCCACTGGTCCTCAGTCACACGGACCTCCTCTCAGGGCAGCACACTGAGAATTTCTCCCACCAGCTCTTCCCTCTGCCTGGAGCACTCTTTGGCTTTTCTCAAAGAGGTCTTCCCTCTTTGGGCTAGACTGACCCAAATTACCCCTCCAGTCACTGCCATAGTACCTTGCTCTATTCATTCACAGGATTTATCTCCTCCTGAACTAATCATTTGTTCACTTGTACACAGTTTACTCTCCACCCAGGCACTCACCAACACACACAGCATAGAATGTGAGCTTTGTGAGGGCAGAAGCTTGCTTCCCTCGTTCACTGATTTTGCTCAGCACCTGGCCCCTGATAATTGCTCAGTAATTAGCTGGGGACCAATCAATGAATGATTTCCTGGGTCCCTCAGGAAGCCTGAATGAACCCCTCAGGCTCTAGCTCCCTCTTGTCACTCATGATTCCAGTATGGGTAGTGGAGAAAGGAAACAGAAGTGGAGTCACCACTGGTTCCAATGAAGAGATGGAAACTGATGCTTGTTGTCCAGCTGCAGGGGAAAGCAGTGGGAAGCTCAAGACATAGTCTGATCTCACAGAACAAGTTGTCATCGAGATGAAAAACTAGATACTTAGCACTTACAGGTGATTGCTCCAGATATGTCTTGTCACTATCTCTAGGGAGCTATTTCACAATGGTGGACAAAGGATGAGAATGGACTCAATCCCCAAGAACTCCTCTTGCAACATCTGGTCATGTGGCACACAGGAAGTTGGGTTTTTAATAAACATGCAAATGATGAGGTGTTGAAATGTTATTGGGCTGCCCAGCAGAGTCAAGATCACTGAGCTTAGTACTCAAGACACACCCCTCTTCAGCCTCTGTCCAGATCTGAAATCTCTCTTGACCTCAGTTTCCTCATCTATTCAATGGAAAGCAAATGGCAAGGCCCCCTCTAGACTGGTACTTTAGAATGTTTCTCTTTAACTCGAGTTCCCTCCCTCAGCCAAATTACTTACTCTTCTGCCTATCTTCTCCCCACCTCACATACACGCCAAAATATTCGCCTTTGTTTGTACTGTTCCTCTGCTAATAATACCATCATTTTCTCTCTGCTTTTGAAATATTGTGCAGCTTTCAATGAGCAATAGAATGTCTGCATGCAATCTTCTTTCTTACTGGTTCCAAATAAAAATATGTCCTTTTTATGAACTTTTGGGAATTTATTGTCTAATTAAGGGGCCAGTAAACTACAGCTTGCAGGCCAAATCCAGGCCATCAGCCAAATCTGTGTGTTTTTGGAAATAAAGTTTGGTTGGAACATAGTCATGAGAGTTAATTTACATATTGTCTGTGGCTGCCTTGGCTACAATAGTAGGGTTGTTTGTAACACAAGCAATATGATTTACAAAGTCTAAACATTTACTATCTAGCCCTTTATAGAAAAGTTCACCAACACCTAGCCAGTCTACGTTTCTCAAACTCCAGTGCACACAGGTCCAGACTGCTATTGGCAGATGAATCCAAAGCCACAAAGCCAACATGGTGCATCTTCCTGAAACAACATTTTTCCTAGAAGACTGGGAAGGAAAAATACAATTAATAGACAATAAATACGGACATCAAAGCAAACCCATGGGTATTATGAGGTCAAAACATACATGTGCAAGAAATAATGAGCTAAAAGTTTCAACATGGTCAAAATCCCAAGCTTGCAGAGGCCTTCGTCACATGGCTGCTGCACCTGCACTGTTACAAATCTTTTGTATGAAGCTTTAGGATAGACCCTTGCATGCTGTTCAGTTTGAGGTGCCAGCTCATATTCCCTGGGTCGTCTATTCTCTCTGCTTCTGACACAGTGCTTCACTATCAGGACTCCAGAAGGGCTGGGGTCATTATGGTAAATCCTAAAAGGCCCCCAACCGTCAGGATGGTTTAAAGGGGCCCAGCAGAAGCAGCAGATAACTTTCCCTGCAGAGGTCTCATTCCCTATGGGGGCCTTTTTAGTTCCTTAACTGTGGCTACAGGAAGGAAAAGTCTAATAGGATTGTGTTACATTGACAGTATTCACAGCAATGGCATTAATGATATAAAACACAAATTAGTTCCTTCCTCAGCTGACAGCAGAATCAGTTTTGTATCAACGCACTAGTCATAAATTAGCTCTTTTGATTTTGTTTGCCTTTTTCTTTTCCTTTAATATATTTATTTGGGGGAGCGAAGAAGTGGCAAGCGTTTACCAAGTTCCTGATGATTGCCACCGCCCCTATTGCAATTCCACCCTTTATCTTTCCCTCCACGGTGCCTCTGATTTCTGAACTATCCCCATAATGTCACATAGCAACTGCTAGGTTTTGCTGTCTGTTATTCAACTTCGTTTCATTTTTGAAGGCAAAGACCCGTACACAAAGTTGCCAACTTGTTACTAAGAATCAGGAGGTGGTCAGGCATTGCAAAGGCCGGAGGAGGCAGTCTCAGATTCTCGCTTTGAGTCAGGTCTGAGGCCAAACATCAGTTTTGCCACCCACCTGCTGCGCCGCCCTCAGTGAGTCACCTGCACCTTCATTTTTCTCTCCTGAAACTGAAGGCAGGGCCAAGATGATCTCCAAGAGCTTTTCCAGCCTTGAGACACTACAGTTTAAAGCAGCATAATTAATGGAAAAAATCAAGGACACAGCTACATGGATAGATCTCCAAAACATAAACCCGATTGGAAAATGTTGGAGAATGATTTGTACTACATGGTACGACTCTGGCTTTTTAATTTAACTTTTGAAATTGATAACATAGCCCATCTACAGGATTCAAAAAATATTAAGGAATACATTTAAGTCTTCCTTCCATTCCCTCTTTCCTCCCACACACAAAACTGGTTTTGCATGTAAAGTTTCCATTTCTTTAGGCACATATACACAAAAATTAACAAAGGCTTAATTTTCCCCTTTGTTACACAAAAGATACCATATATATGGTTCTGTATCTGGCTTTTTTCCTTGATTAATAAGAGTTTGAAAGTTTTCACATTTGTACATTGTCTTTTGTTTTGTTTTGTTTTTTGGTACTGGGGATCAAACTCGGGACCTTGCACTTGGCAAGGCAGGCGGGGGCACTACTAAATCCCCAGCCCGAGTGCCTTCATTCTTTTTTTATTACTGCACAGGATCCCATTATAGGGATACAATGTAATTTATTCAATTGCTCCCCTACTGATGACTATGTGAGTTGTTTCTGGTCTTTTCTATTAGGAGCAATGCCATAATGAATAAGCACACATATGTGCTTTTGAACATGTACAAATACAAATAATAAGAAATGGTGTTTCTTTTGTAATTTTGTATGTGTGCAATTTTGATAGAAATTGTCAAATTGTATTCTGTGGACATTATTATCAATTTACTCACCCACAAATTTGGAGTGCTTTCCCCCACAGCCTCTTCTATATACTGCTACCAACTCTCAGATGATTTGATGGATATTAAACAACAGCATCTCAGGACACACTCCTTTCCATATGGTTTTTAATTTCTTTTGCTGTTTAATGAATAAAGTACTGAACCATTTCTTAAGCTTAATAAACATTTGTGTTGCTCTGTAAATTAATACTTAGAGCCCCTTTTCACATATGTAAAAGTTTAAAGCATGCAGTACACTTGCTATGCCTGTGGTTAAGTGTCCCTCAGAGGCCTATGTATACCACCAGCCTATGGCACTACTGGGAGGTGGTAGACCCTTTGGGAGGTGGAGCCTAATGGGAGGAAGTTAGGTCCCTGGTTGATTGTCCTGGAGGAGCTATTGACCAGTGTGTGTGTGTGTGTGTGTGTGTGTGTGTGTGTGCGCGTGCGCGCGTGCGTGCCCCCCCCCACTTCCTGGCCACCATGCGGTGAGCAGCTTCTACTTCTACCTCCATGTGCTCCCACCAGCATGTACTGCCTTTGCCAAAGGTGCAAAACCAACAAGCCAAATGAACATGCAGTGAAACTTGCAAAACTATGAGCCAAAATAAGCCTGTTCTCTTTTTTTAAGTTGACTATCTAGGACATTTTGTTATCCTAACAGAAAGCTGACTAACTCATCTGTACATTATTTGTGGCCATGGGCATGCATTACGAAGGGTGGGAGGGACATTCTCTCACCTCATTTGAAAGTTGTCCTCTGAAGAAGATGGCAGGGAAATGGGACAGGGAACAGGCATAAAGGAAATCTGATGGAGGGTGTTACTTTTTTTTTAATGAAAGAAGGAAAATGAAAAATAGGCATGGAGAGAGAAAAGGAGGAAGAAAAGGAGGGAGAGAGGCAGGGAGGGAGGGGAAATATGCTTTGAAAACCAGTGAGGCTGAACTTGAATCTAAGTGAAGCACACATTTTCTGGGACCTTTGACAACCCTCTCAAACTCCCTCCCTCACTCTCAATTTTCACATTCTGAGGACTCAAATAATGCCTACATTGTAGAGTTCATGTGAGACTCGATCCATATGACACCACGATTGGCACATCATTGCTCAACTGTCATTGTTAACATTAACTTGATTTTTATTTCTACAATGTATACAATGCCTCAAGATAAAATAAAAGGTCTGGTAACTTCTCTTGACTTAACTACTTCTTTTTCCTGTTGGGTTTCCTAATGGGTAGCTTCTTAGCAACACCACGCCAGCGGCTGCATCCTCCCTGACATGTTTTCCAAATGTCTTCCCCAGGGCTGCACCTATTGGCAGAATGAGTATGTCTGGGAATCCCAAGGGTGTGGACAGGGTGAGGAGGAGGAGTTTCCTCTGTGTAGCAACTGCAGCTGCTGTTCCCAAGGTCTGAGACCTTTGTTAGGACATGAGATGAATTTCCCTTTGGGGCAGCTTCTGGAGAGTTACACCCAAGGTTACCTGCAGTCACCACCTGGCCTCAGAGGAGGTCAGGCCTCCCTCTTTCCCTAGTTGCATTACATCAACAGGCACTAGATGCTCCACCCACCTCCAAGGCAATTGCTTCAGCCTTTTAGCATCTTGTTTCCCCAAAGCCTTGGACAACCAGAAAATAATATTTTACTCTTTTGCTGAAAACTCCTTTTATCAGAACAGGGAAGAATATAGCAGTGAACTTTATACATACCTTCTTATACCTTTGGGTTATTTTCCAAGTTGAAATGGTTTATATTCTTTTTCATTACTTGGATCTTTAAAAAAAATCAGAAAACTAGAGAAAAGAGAGGAGAGGGGAAAAAGAGAAAAGAAGGAGGGTAGAAAAAAAACAAAAGAAAAATAAATGGGTAGGCTGGAAATAGGTAGTGTCTTGGCAATGTAACTTACAAGACTTTTGGAGAAAAGCTCCAGAAATGTAACCTGAAGGTCAGCATCAGATGTCACCAGGGTCTTGATTAGTGGCTGTGTTAGTTAGTTTTCTATTACCGCAATAAAATGCCTGAGATAATCAATTTTAAAAGAGGAAAGGTTTATTCTGGCTCATAGCTTTGGAGGCTTCAGTCCATTGCATTTGGGCCTGTGACAAGGCAGAAACATCTTGGTGATAGCATGTAGCAGAGGAAACCCATTCACTTCATGTCTAGCAAGCAAAAAGGAGACAGGAGGAGGAAAAGAGTAGTGTCCCACAATCCCCTTCAAGGACACACCCCCAATTACCTAAGGACCTCCCAATAGGCCCCACCTCTTAAAGGCACCATACGTTTTTGGTGAACACCACTCTGAAGCCTTACACATGGACCACTGGGGGCCATCCAAGACCGAAACTAATAGCAGTGGCTGGTCCTCTTCTATAGGAACTAAGACTGCATGCACAGCTAATGCCAAGCAATGGGGGAGAGAATGCTAAAGCAATGCTTCCCTGATAACATCCAGAAATTTTACCCAAGCCAGGAAAGGCAACAACCTTCAATTATAGGCAGTGATGAATTAATAACAACTCATTAATCAACTAATGAATATCATGTAGAAAGGAATTACAGTTATTCAAGGCAGACAAATATTGCTTTATCCTTGGCTGAGCTGATCCAAAGATAAATGGTGAGACAAACCAAGTTTAACTTTCTTGCCATTTATGACTATTTCCTTCTTTTAGCAATCTGACCTCAATGGAACTGGGAGCTTATTTCTGTAGCACCCTTTGCAGATTGCCAACACATTTACTCCCAGTGCCTCGCCTCTGTTTCCTTTATCCAAATGTCCCTTTCATTGGCCTCATTTCCAGAGCCCTTTTCTAGGAAACAAACAGCTAAATGCCTGTTCTGAGAAATGTGTTCATTCTGAAGTGATAATGTCTGCTGCAGTAATTAGGATAGTGACCCATCCAAAGACATTCATGCCCTAATCCCCAGAACCTCTGAATGCACAATTTTACACACCAAAAGGGATTTTCCAAATGGATTGGAAAGGCTAAGGTCTCTGAGATGATAAAGGGTAGCCCAATCTTAACATATGAGTCCTTAAAAGTGGATAACTACACCCTGCTCTGTCAGATAGATGAAAAGGAAGACTTGCTAGCTTTGAAGATGTAGGATGTGAGCATGTGCCAAGGAATGTGGGTGGCCTCTAGGAGCAGGAAATGGCTCTCAGTGACAGCCAGCAAGGAAATGAGACCTCAGTCCTACAGTCAAAGAAACTAAATTTTGCCAAAAACTTGAATGTGCAAGGAAACAGATCCAACTTTAGAGTCTTCAGTAAGGTATATATCCCTGCTGATACCCTGATTTTAAAGACTGTCAGTTACATGTAAGACCTACAGACTTATAGGCTGGTAAACTGTGTTGTCTAAAGCAGTGCATTTGTGGAGATTTGTTATTTTCTAGCAATAGAAAACTAATACAGGTGCTAACGTAGGACTCAGTCAGTAGGATTTCAGTTTATTTTTTTAAAGCAACTGTTATAGTACAATGTGAAAAAAATTGGATGTATTTGGGAACAGACAAGTTGTTTTGCCACAATTCATAGTCATTCCTTTTGTGCATTCATGTGTTTCATAAACATTTATGAAATGCCTACTATGGAATGTAGCTCCCTACACATACGGTTCCTTTTAGATCATGTCTACACAAGTGGATTCAGTGTGTAAATTGAAAGTTCATTGAGTGTCTACTACATATTAAGCAAAAGTTAAATTCATTGAAAGGTTTTTTTTAGCTGCCTGGGAAGGCTGAGCAACTTAAGATTTCAAATTCCACAAAGAAAGATCGGAAGCAGGTAGCATTGAAATATATCTTCACAACAGCACTATTAGGTATTATTCTTTCCCTTTGACATATGAGAAAACAGGCTCTGAAAAAAGAGACTGACTGGATATGTAACACCACCACCAGTAAGTGATGGAGCTGCATTTTAAAAATCATTGTAAAAAATATATAAAATAAAATTTGCCATCTTAACCATTACAAAGCATGAAGTCCAGAACATTCACATTGTTGCGCAGCTTATCGTGTATTCTTTTTGTCTTGCAAAACCAGCACTCTAGCCAGGCATAGTGGCACGCTAAGTGCTACTAGAAGCATAGTACAAATATCCCTTTCAATTCTTTGGGGTATGTACATCAATGGACCAAATACTTGAACACAGATCTCTCAGACTGAGACGCACACTGTCTTCCCAGGATGCCACACAGCCTAGAATGAAATTATGGCCTTTAAGGCTGCAGCGAATCAGATTTATGTAATTTTTGCCAACATTCCATTCCACATAAATCAGTTAGAACTAGTTTTCTTCTCTGATTGTCCAGTGCTTGAAATACAATCTGATAAACTGCACCAAGATTAAAACTCAAACTCCTTGTTCCTTCATGATGCCCCTGCCCACTATTCCAACCTCTTTTTCAACCATTTGCTGTGTTTCAGTTATGCTAGCTATGTATGGATATTTGTACATCATGATCCTAGCAGCACTTTTCACTAGAGCCAAAAAGTGGAAGCAAGTGTCCATCGACATGTGAATGGTAAACAAATGTGATGAATAAATATAATGGAATTTGCTCAGCTTTAAATATGAAGGACATTCTGATATGACATGGAAGAAACCCAAGGACATTGTATTAAATGAAATTAGTCAGTAAAAAACAAATACTGTATGATTTCACTTACGTGAGCTACCTAGAAAAGTCAGAGTCATAGGGACTATAGGTATACTATAATTTCAGTTTTGCAAAATATCAAAATATATGGTGGCACACACCTATAATCCCAGGATTCCCAGAGGCTGAAGCAGAAGGATCTCAAGTTGAACCCTAGCTTGAGCAACTTAGTGACTTAGTGAGATCCTGTCTCAAAATAAAAAAGTAAAAACAGGGCTGGGGACATAGCTCAGTGCGAAGGCTCTGGACTCAATCCCACACCTTAAAAAATATATCTAAATATGTGTATATAATTGTCTGGAACTACTGCATATTCACCAGGTTTATTGCTGAGGGAACAAGACTACAAATAGAGATTTCTTTTTTTTACTTTGTGTACTCTGTATTATCAGAATGTTTTGCAATTAGCTTAGGTTGCTTTTGTAACAAAAAGAATCCTGCATTTACTGATGAGTTTATGGAAATGTACATTGGTGTGTTTAAATTACTTTGAAATATATAAAAAAGAGGATGGATTGACAGATGGATAGAGAATTAGATAATTAGACGGCTATCTGGTAGAGCAGGGGTAGCAAAATACTCCTTGTAGAATCTAGATGATGATACATGAATGTTCACTGTACAAATCTTTCGATTTTCTGACTCTAAAAATGTTCATGGTAAAATTGGAGGATAGAAATCTTACTATTTATTCAATGGACATTTCTCACTTGCTCACTATGTGTCAGGTATGCACTGATTCCTGGGTTTAATTTCATTCTGCTCTAATCGCATTAAACAGCACAAGATCAAAGGCCATCATCAGGCCCCTCCCTCTCATTCATGCACCCATTCCACAGCCTTCCTGGCCCCCTAGACCGCTCAGCAACCAGGCTGTCTACCTATGAATTTAAAGATTCCCTATATTGGAGACCCCAGTGTCCCAGGTGAAGATTGGGTCAAATGACAAAGAATCTGTATTTGTTCAAGTCCCAGTTTGGCCCAGTAGAAGCCATGGGCATAGGAATTCATCACCTCTGGAAGTCAAGGGGACATAGAAGAGCGACTGGCACCCTACTTCTGTCTTTCCCTATGTGCCCATCTTCTGCTGATGCTTCTCACTACCTACCTCCCTGGAAGCAAGAGAGGAAGAGCAGCTAAGTGACACTGTCTTTGGAGATCAGCAACCCAGGACTTAAAGCTGGACATTTTATGGATCAGGAGAAGGGGTTAGGGGAAAAAAGTGATAAAGTATTATACAGATTTCCATCAAACTGATCTTATCATTTATCATCCAATGCAGGCTGCCTAACAAATGAAAGAAGCTATCATTGAAAATTGCAGTAGGTCTCTCTACAGGCAAAACCAGAAATGTGTGGCCCTTCTATTTTCAACATTGGCTCTAATTCCTTCATTTGCT